GAGAGAGAGAGAGAGAGAGAGAGAGAGAGAGAGAGAGAGAGAGAGAGAGAGAGAGAAAGAGAGGGAGGAAAAGAGAGACAGTCGCGCTCCAGTTATGCATATTACGAGGTCGGAAGTGAGGAAATTCCGAAATCCGCGTCCTTGCGGAACAGCCGCGCGAGTACAGTCGCGCACGAGAATTCGAAAGGTTGTCGAAGCAAGCGGCGGGTCGGCTGGATCTTTCCCAGCTGCACGGAAAGCAAATCTCAGCTCATGTAACCGAACAGGGGAACCAGACGAACAACTCGCCGAAAATTTGATCCCACTTTCAGTCTCAATGTTTCACTTGACGCTTATTTTGATACTCTAAAAGTCTACATCACGCATTCTTTTGATTCCGTTCGATCCACTTACTTCGCCGCATTCTGTGCATTTTCTGCATTCTAACGAATTTCAGTTTCCATGTGTAATAATTAAACATACACTGATTCACCAGAATATACAGATGTTGGAAGGACTCAGGTCGAAAGTAGGACTAGAATGTCGATTCGGATTGTTACCTCAATGGGATCTATTTTCCTCACGTAAACTCGTGAAAAATGCAAAGTTCTATTGAATTTATCAACAAGGCTCTTCATTTTTCACGAATTTACGCGAAAGAAATAGACATGGTCGATTCACAGATTAGTGAATGTACGACTTTAAAATGGAACTGCGACCGCATTACCTTACTGTGGCCGAAGATATTCAGCTGCATTAAAATCATTTGAACCCATGTGGCTAGCTCTTCCTCTTCTCCATCACGCGAAAACCAAAGAACGAATAGCTCAGAATTGGGAGCTGTTTATGAGTTTCCGATTTCCATTAGTTAATCCTCTACTGCTCACTGTGACTCTGCAATCACGATCAAGTTTTCACTTGGTGGGAGAGCAGACAGTTGCACAGGAGTCTCCTGCGTTGAAGTTACTGCCTGAGTCGAAGTTTTAACCATTTCTCCCATCTGAGTTTTGTAACATATGTATATTCTGAAGGATCATTATATGTTTATATACACATGAAAACTGAAACCCTGCTTAAGGCCTCTAAATAGCAGAAAGCGCACAAAACTAAGTAGAAATAATGGTAGAGAGTAGTAGGTTCCGAATAGATCCAAGAGAAAGAAAAAATAGATCAAAAAGCGTTACCTAAAGATCCTTTACTTAAATAGAATCGAAAGCAATTGAAAGCATGCTTTCGAGTATCAAAACAGACGTTAAATGGAACGTCGAGGTCGAAAATGGGGTCAAAAATTCGACTCGGATGGGAGCAATTGGAGCTGAGTGGAAACCTCTCGCAAGTATTTTTTGCTCCTGCAGTGGAGTTTCTCGTCTGGTTCCCAGCAACAGAAAATGCAGTCGCACTAACTGAGCTGACTTTTTCTCCGTGTTGCGAACCGACATAATTGTGTCCTCAATCTTCTCGTGTCTTCTCACCACCGGCACGTGTTCGTTTGGCCCGTGAAATTAGAACGAGCCACTGAAAAACTTCGCCAAGAGGCCCGCCCCGTCCTGCCGTCGCCGCGGCCGCTCCAGCGAGTCGCTGGTGATACGTTACCCAGCTCGCGAGGTCGCCGATGTCACCTCGAGTTCCGAACTGTGTCTCGGGGCAGCTCGTGAGATCAATTCCACGTCAGCCGCGCGAGGCGACAACGATGTCTCACGGAGACGCTCAAGTAGAGAACAAGTGGAGGACGATGATGTCGTGAAGAAGATCGAGGCTCGCGAATTGCGCAAGCGGAAACGTCCGTCCTTGAGTCGTCTCCTATCATCGATCGCGACGGCGTGTCGACCGTTCGACATATCGGGCCTCGATTACAAGGCCTACCGCCATCGACTGATCGAGGCTAGTCTGCGGCAGCAGTACGACGACTATCAGCCTCCGGGTGACGTCGTGCTGAACTCGCTGCATCTCAACTCGGCCGACTCGGTGATCGGCGTGCGACTGAACGATCACTACGACCACAGCCTCTTCGACTTCGTCGAGGAATACTATGATGCCACCAAGACGACTAGTCGGGAGAACGCCGGGCGTCAGCCTCATCCGTTGGACCACTTTCTGGTGAGAGGCGCGAGGAGGCCGAAGACCGCCGAGAGGCAGACGGAGACGCAACCCGAGGACGATGTCGACCGCGAGTCCTTCGGTTGCGAAAGTGCCAGGGATTATCTCCCAGTGAACGTCGACAGCGTTTCGCCCAAATCGCCTAGCGTGGACACCAACGGGAACCCTCATGTTCAGCCGCCGAGCAATGCCTCGACTGAACAGAAAGTCGTCGTAAGGAGAAACGACCTGGATTCGACTCCAACGCGACCCCGTGTGCGCGCCTTTAAGGAGACGCGTGAAAGCAGCTTGAAGGAAGATCGGAGAAAGTCCTCTTGGACAACGAAGAATCGATCGGCAAGTGCCGGGAGCGCCTCGACGCTCCAAGGATCAAGGGCCTTGTCTCGAGCTGCTACACTGCCGGAGAACAGAAGACTCCTTGGATCACCGGGACGGAGGAGGAGCGCAGACCGTTTCGGCGAATCCGCGAAGAAATTGGAAGATCAGCCGAACAGACCGCAGTCGCCGTCGTCGTCGTACGGACGAACGGGCGGTGGTCGCCAGGAAGAGACGAGGGCGAATTTCTTCCCGCGCAGCTCCAGCGAGATCATCAGCGTCTACAGCGAGTATTCCGGCAAGCACCGGGACGAAACGTCGTGCCGTTCGCGGGAGTCATCCATCAGCCCTAGGAGTCGCGCGCGGCCCCCTTGGCTGTCAGGGAACCGTGGCAGTTCCTTCAACAGGAAATACGCCAATATCGCCAAGGACTCCGCGAGAACCGGTCAACCGGTTTCGGCGCGTGGCAGAAGCTTGCCTCGGCAATCGGCAGCTCCAAGTGGAGGACGGTTGTCGAAGCCCGTCAGCCGCGGTTCAACGTTGCCCGGGCTGAGAGCGAATGTAATCGCGTCGCGGCAAAAGGAACATATCAGAGTGCCTGCTGAAGAGAAGCAAGAGGAGGAAGAGGAAAAGGAGGAGAGAGAGGAGGAGGAGGAAGAGGAGGAACGCGAGCAAGATGTCACCGCGACATCTCCTCGTCCACAAGAAGACGAGTTGAAGGAAAAGGTCGGCAGGAGAAATCTCGTCGCGCAGGGTAGCGACGGAACTGTACGGATTCCACGGGCGTCTGGTTCACCCGAGGAGGGAGTACTTGAGCCGGCGATCTCGAGGTTCCCTCGGGACAACGCGGTGTCATTCTCTTCTCCGAGGACGCGGGCCTGCACGAGCCGCAAGCCCCAAGCTTCCTTTGACGCATCCGCCAGCGTGACGAGCGCAACAACCCCGCGGATCCGAGCGACGCGGGGGCCGCGCTCAGCGCGACTGGTCCCAGACCCAGGGAAGAAGCAACCGACCAGGAACACGCGCGACACCAGTGAAGATTCAAAGCCGCCGCTCATGCAAGATGGACGGACGAGTGTGGCGAGATTAAATCGCGGGCGACGCGCGGCGAATGCCGCCTCCGTCAAAGCCGCGCCGCTCGACTCGAAAATCGAATTATCCAGACAAGTGTTGAACTCCGCCGACGATACCGGCGATGAGCGCAGTGTCCCGCCGTCTGTCGACTCCACGAAAGTCGGGGAGCACGCGTCCCAGGTCGCCCCGCCGCGAGAGAGCGCCGAGAGGATGACGGGAGGTGACGGGGCAGACGCCCAGGAGGTCCCGGGTGTGAAAAATGCGCTTGGGCAGGCGACGGCGGAGAACAATGCGGGTTCTAATAACAGCAATCGCGTCGCTCGACCCAGGGCCCCCGAGACCACGCGGAATCTGAGGCCGAGGCCGGCCAGCGCGGGCCATCATCTCGCCGAAAGTCACCGGGTCGCTCCGCGGGGCGCGTCGACAGCGCGGAAAAGTGCGAATTCCGAGACCGCGGGCGGGGTAAAGCGCGTCGAACCCTCGGCAGGGTCAGCGCGAGCAAGGCTACTCCTGCGCGAGCACGGCGCTGTCGACGGGGCGGAGGCGCGGGGGAAGTGCAGCGGGGCGACCGGCACCGCGTTCGGCGACGAAGAAGAGCTGAGGCTACCGCGGCACGACTCGAAAATAGGACTCGCCATGAACTCCGCTCTGAGGAGATACATCGAGACGCTGAAGCTGGGTCTCCTGGACCGTAGCGATAAGCACGGTGTCGCCCTGGCGTCTCTCAGCCTCACCGACGCCATATCCATTCTGTCGGGGGAAAAGGCGCCCCTGTCGGCCGAGGAGACTCGCGAGCTGCAGAGCGTGCTGAGCAGGGTGGAGAGGAACCCCGAGTTGTTGTTGCGCAAAACGTCGCCGTCGAGCGCGGACAACACCGCGTGAAATTGCGACGGTACATCATCCCCCTCCTTCCGCGCCGTCGGTATCAGAGCCAGCGCCCCGCAGCTTAACGCGATTGCACGCAGTCTTTATCGCGAAACGATTTGCAATTGGAGTTTATTGCGCGCCGGACCGTGTCGCGCGCGGGCGAATTTCGGGTGTAAACGTTATACTTGTTGGAATCGATAGCGCGTGTAATTAAAACAATACGCCGGCCAATAGACAAAATGGCGTAGTCGCTGTTCGTTTCTGGCCGTACGGATCCCCGTCGCCGCTGAACGGGGGAAAGGAGGAAGGAAAAGGATTCGCAAACACAGGGCGTTTGATTCGGGCGTGATTGACGCGTAATTATATCACATCGGCCGGATCGTTGTTTCAATCCCGTAATCACAGAGCGGAGGCCCATTTCCACAGCTTGTGCAGCTGGTCGCGGTCATAAAAATCAGCGCGAAATCGCGTTCCCAGCGCAACCTACTTACCTACAAGTGGAACTGCTAGCGGCAATCAGCGGACCGCGGCTGAGGCCGCTGATTGCCGCTGGCAGTAACAATAGGTGGACGGCTAAGCGCCGTCGACGACGACGGCGGCGGCAGCGAGTGCCATGAAGCGGTTAATGAACGTCTCCGGCGGCCGTCTCTCTCTCTCCCTCTCTCTCTCTCTCTCTCTCTCTCTCTCTCTCTCTCTCTCTTTCTCTCTGTCTTTCTCTGCGCGTGATTTACATGCCAGTCCGCGGGCGTGATCCCACACAAGTGCCACCGTTTATTAATAAGTCATAAAGGAAACAGGGGCCAACGAGGCGAGGGAGTGAAGACGCGGGCTGAAAGTGTTTCTCGCGATGACGACAGACACTTACCGAGGAGACGAGGCCGAGTTGTTTTGTCCCTCGCTCCACCACGTGGACCGCCGCGTGCCGTTGACTGACCCGCGATCGATGCCCGCTCTCGGCCGATTACGTTCGTTATCTTACCACTCCACGTCGATGCGCGTCGTTGTTCCAATCAGGACTGGCCTTTCGCGCACTGGCTATATGAGTCCACGACGTCTACGTGTGGGTAGTGTAAGTTGGCCACAATTACGTGAGACTGACACAGCCTACAAAATTATTCTCGGCTTTTTCTTGTCCACACGTCTTTCTACGTAGAACAAAAAAGATCCAGATATCGTGGACGCCTGGAATCAAAGCGATGTGTCTCATCATTTGGGGGAAAATAGTCCAAAAGAATATGTATTCTGTTGAAATAAATGGTACCGTTAGAATCCTTATAGAAAACGCATAGAAAATGTTAAAAGAAAAACAGGAGAGAGAGAGAGAGAGAGAGAGAGAGAGAGAGAGAGAGAGAGAGATGAAAATCTTTATGAATAAAACAATACGGATTATAAATGCTAATAATGTTTATTGATTTAGAGTGACTCTCCGATTAATTTAATCGTCGATTTATTCCGTTGTAAAACCAACAAGGATTGGCCAGTAGCTATTTGCTGATCACGACGTAATTAATCGACAATTAAGTTAACCGAAGCTTGGTAAAATCCACCTTAAATTAATAAATATTATTTAACAAAAATTGATTAGCATTTATTATGCCATTTATTCACCCTTTGAATTTATTTATTTCGACAGAATACGTATCTTTCTGGGCCATTTCCTCCCAAATAGCGAGGCGCACATTACTTTGATATATCTTTAATCTACTCATGAATAGCTACAATTTTAACAAGAAATAATTTAAAATGCCGGAAAATATATGGGGCTCCACTTGGCAGCGCTTTTTCGCTCCAAAAAATTCGGAGAGTGACGAAATGAGAAATTTGCAAATTTGTTGTCTCTTTTAAACGTTATATATTTGTAATCTCCATGTCCAAAACACACGGATACGGTAACTATCTCATAATGTAATTACTCTTTTTCTTTTTGCGCACGCAGTTCAATGTAATTCGCAATATTCCACATAATTCCACATTGTTTACACGAGAAACGATTGTGTATCTACATGAGGTAGAAAATACGTAAACAATTCGCGCGGACATAATCTTGAAATCTGCGAACGCAGTTCCGGGGCGATATCACTCGCTCTCGATGTTGCTCGCTACGTTCTCGCGAGTAATTGGAAAAGTCCGTAATTATCGTTTATTATTATGATCATTATTATCGTGCCGCTTCGTATCGGGCGGCGATGATGGTAATGATATAATAATATTTACCATGGCCGTCAATACCGGATGGCAATAATGATGTATAATGCAATCCGAATTTTCGCGTTATCCATCACGCTGTTGAACCTCTCCCCGTCAGATTCGAGTTCGCGCAGTCAAGCGCGCGTACATTTTCTTTGCGATCACTTGGCGAGTGATCCGCCGGTGTTAGAGTGCTATTACCGGGTTGTCAAAAGCCGCGGGAGCAGCGGGTCGGATCGTTTCTATAGCGAACTTTAATCCCCCTTTGATGCATCGGGCTTTCAATGTACCTCTAATCAATCTTACTAATCTGACGTAAATTGACTTTCACATGATTAATGAGTCCGCGCCGGTACTACTGGCAAGTTTTTTGCTGCTCACCACTTTTACTCTCTCATTGAGACGTCGCTTTTTCGCGACTCGACCCCGTGTATGGGCATCTACGGGAGCATTCCGGCGGCTTGGCATCCCCGACGACATTCCGACCAATTTATTGGAAAGCCCACGTCAGTCAAGACGTTTCAACAGCCGGCTACGCTCGGAGCGCTTCCGATACGCCCGTATACGTCGAATAATATCTAAATCGGGGATTGAACCTTTTTAACTCTGCTGGGACCATCGCGGATGGAAGATCCCGGCCGCCAGCGTGAACTCGATCGAGCACGAAAGCGCGCTTTGTCCCGCTCTAATTTAACTTGGTCGAAACGAATTCGGCAAGCGTCAGAGAGGCAGAGGTCCTGAAAAAATTGGCGTCTGCCCTCGAGCTTCGCTGTGCGAAATCACGCGACTTTGGAATTACGAGATCGAAACTTCGGCGAATTGTCCACCTCCGGCGATCCTCTCAAACGATATTTCTTGCCAATTGTATTCACCAGCTCGTGCGCGCGCGGTGATTTCAGGCGTTACGCGAAGTCGAGCGGACAAGAGAGCGTATCTTTACCTCCGCCGGACTCTAATTGAAATTTAAAGCCGATGAAACGAGATTGGCAAGTGTCAAAGAGACCCCGAAAAAATTGGCGTCTCGAACTCCGCTGTGCGACTTCGAAATCGCGAAATCGAGACGTCGACGACTTTCAAACAATATTTTTCCTCAATTATATCCCTCAACTCACGGGAGTGATTTCAAGCGTGATATGGAATCAAGAAAGCACACCTTCCCGTCTTGAAACTTAAAGTCGATAAAACGGATTTAATAACTGCCAAAAACACCCGAAGAAGCGAACATCCACTCGAAGTCCGCTGTACAAAATATCGCAATCTCGAAATCACGAAATCGAAACGGCTCTTGAACAATATTCCTCTCCAGTTGCATCCCTCAGCTCGTTGGGGTGCTTTCAAGCGTGATGTTATGTCAAGAGGACAAGAGAGCACATCTTTACACTTCCATCAAACTCTAATTGAAATTTAAAGTCGATGAAACGAGTTTAATAAACGCCAAAAAAGTCTGAAAAAATTGACATCCCCTTGTTCTCCTCTGTACTAAATAGTGCGACTTCGAAATCACGAGATCGAAACTTCCGTGACTCTCAAACAATATTCCTCTCCAGTTGCATCCCTCAGCTCGTGGGGGTGCTTTCAGGCGTGATGTTAAGTCGAGAGGACAAGAGAGCACATCTTTACACTTCCATCAAACTCTAATTGAAATTTAAAGTCGATGAAACGAGTTTAATAAACGCCAAAAAAGTCTGAAAAAATTGACATCCCCTTGTTCTCCTCTGTACTAAATAGTGCGACTTCGAAATCACGAGATCGAAACTTCCGTGACTCTCAAACAATATTCCTCTCCAGTTGCATCCCTCAGCTCGTGGGGGTGCTTTCAGGCGTGATGTTAAGTCGAGAGGAAAAGAGAGCACATCTTTACACTTCCATCAAACTCTAATTGAAATTTAAAGTCGATGAAACGAGTTTAATAAACGCCAAAAAAGTCTGAAAAAATTGACATCCCCTTGTTCTCCTCTGTACTAAATAGCGCGACTTCGAAATCACGAGATCGAAACTTCCGCGACTCTCAAACAATATTCCTCTCCAGTTGCATCCCTCAGCTGGCAGGAGTGCTCTCAGGCGTGACGTTAAGTCAAGAAACCTTCATTTCCGTCAAACCCCAATGGACATTTCAACGCCGACGAGACGAATTTAGCAAGTGCCAAAAAGGTTTGCAAAATTGAGCATTCCACCGTTCTCCGCTGTACAAAGCCGCGCGAAATTATGAAAAACGAAAAATGTCAGCAATGCAAAGTAGCGCTTTTCCCAACAGCATTTCTTTCCGATTGCACGCTCCGGCTCGCGCGTGCGCGATGATTTCGGGCGTTAAGTGAAGTCGGGCGAACTGGAAAGCACGTCATTACTTCCGCCGGGCTCTAATTGAAATTTAAAGGCAATGAAAGGCGGAATTTAGTCAGCGCCGAAATGGCCCGAGACAATGGACAGCTCCCTCGGCGCCGTGGAAAATCGCGCGACTTTCGGAAACGAAACCAGGGAGAGAGGAGACGCGCTCCCATCCCCCGCGAGAGATTCTCAAAAACAACACTTCTAACTTCCATTACTCAGCTCGCGCGATGAGCTACTCGATAACGGGAGAATGTATTGTTCTCAGATCGACACTCGGGGCGACAACAATATCACCCCAGGCAGGAGCAGCGGCAGCAGCAGCAGCAGCAGCAGCAGCTGTTGCACAGGCAATATCGGCAACGCGCTATAAGGACCGATCACGTAGTTTCGCCACCGACTCATTACGGCGCAGGCCGCGTCGAGACTAGAATATTGCCGCGGCATGAATGCTGCACGTAAGGGGCCCGTCTGGCGGGCCGTGAACGACGTGTAATAAGCGAACGTAAGTTAACCCGGCCGTGGGAGGAAAAGCTGTCGCGTAAATCCCGACTAAAACCGCGAACACCTGCGCGTGCGGGAAAGTCTCGCAGGAGCCGGCGGAGAGCCCGCCTTCCTGTTCTTCGATGGAGATTGATTACTATAATTGACTCCGTGAGTCGCGTGCTCTCGTGCCGCGGAGAACACAGCGATGCGAGCCGAGCGAGACTTCCGGCTGGTATTCTCATTTTGTAAGTGCCTTTCGTTGATATTCGTTAATCAGCACTTCTGGTAACAGCCGGAGAAATGTAATCCCATTCTCAGCGGGATCCTCTTGCATCGAAAAAGAAAAGCAGCTAAGAAGGGAAGCAGTTGAATCGACAGGATCAGCGGTCATCCGTCTCCCTTCAAAGACATATTGTATTTATAGAATAAATTGTGCGACAAGGAGTTGCGTTAATATGGAGCTGCTAACCAAATCGCAATCATTGAATTAATTGATGATTCTCGTCGCAATAACTATATCATTCGTTCAACCGACTAAACGTTTGCTTCAGTGAATTTCGTTCGTTTAAGCAAACTCTCATTGACTCAACCACACAAGTATATGGTCTCGAGAGGGGATTCTTCACGAAAAGGAATGAAAAATATTCCAAGAAGGAACACTCGAATGGAAATTTTGATCCCACTTTCAACCTCAATACTCCATTTCACGTCTATCTTGACATTCCGAAGACATTACATTAACCTTTTTTGATCCTATTTAAATTACTAGCTTTGCTGAGAGGTCCTCTTTAGAACTTACGAATCGATTACGTTTTTTGCTATTTAAAAGCCTTAAATAGAGCTTTAGTTTCCATGTGTATCAAATATACATTTCAAAACACACAGAAACTTCAAGTCTAAAGTAGGGCTAGAATCTCGATTCGGGTGCTGTCTCTTATATTCTGAGCGAAAACTTTGGTCAAAAGAATATTTCTCTTCTAATGAAGACCCAGTAAACATCAATTAACGATAACGTTACGTCATTGTTATAATTTCCCACTCAACAATATAATATCTGTTACATATGTTGATTGGGAGAGGAATAATATTGTACTTGAAATATTTTCTTATTGGTCGCAGTAGAGTCCTCTTGAAGCCATGTACGGAGTGACTATCGCCACTTGGAATATCTTCTAGGCGAAAAACAGAGATGATCTCTTCCGATCTTCGAAGTTACTCTACTTAGAAGAAGAAGCGTTCTCTCCTAAGTGGAGCAACTTCGAGGATCCGGCCAGGCCAACTCTGTTTTTTGCTCCTAAGGCATTCCAAGTGTTGGCAACAGAGCTCAGCCTGTACAAGAAAATCCCGCCAAGAATGAGATGACATAATCAGAAATCGAGAATATACTCGGATACTAGAAAAAAGTGCCTCACGTCCGAAATTCTCACGCTCCCGTGAAGCAATTAATGTCTCGAGCTCGTTGGACGGAGCGTTTTAGATAAACGCGCGCTTCGTACTTTTTACTCGCGCGGAGTCATTGCCTTAATCGACAATATCGTAGTTGTCACGGTTGACGAGACAAATAGCCGCGGCCGCGGCCGAGGATGCCTTCTTAAGATTAAGATTAATACGCAGAGCGGAGAGGAAGAGAGAAGAGGAGGAGCCGCGCGAAACGGCGCGGCATTCGCGGTCGTCCCGATCGAATCGATTCGCAAATCGACCGGTCGATCGGGCCGCGCGGAGGCCGCGACGGTTCGTGCCGGGCCCCGTTCGTTGATTCTTGTAATATACATACGTACATGTATGTATACACGTATATTTAGTACATAAATTTTATACATCTATCATAATACCGTACGATGATAATCGATCGTTACACCGTAACAATGATATGCGAGAGTGTGTGACGTAGAGGAGAGTATCAATAAATAGTAAACGAAAACGCGCGTGTATGTGTGTGTGTGTGTGTGTGTAAATCTACGCCGCCGCGAATCGACGTCAGGTCGCACCGGCGGGCTGGCGAGGGTGACGATCTCGCGGATCCAGCGAGATCGCAGAATCACGTCGGGGAATCGGTCGATCGATCTACGAATCTGTTGGCCTCGCGTCGAGTGGCGCGTCGTGATCCTCGCGGCCGCGATCTTGCGGTGAAGCTCTCCCCCCAGCCGGTGCGACCTAAGCTCATCTCGCGGCCTGTTTTCCTGTTACCCTTTACATTACGTTGCGCTACGTACTTCGCCGTTTAACGGAACGCAAGAACCACATCGAGGAGACCACGCGGTTATTAAGCTACCAGCTCGCAACGAGCATTATTAATTGATCGGTGCCGCGGGTCGATGCGGGCGTCGTCGTTGATGCGCGCGAATGCGTGCCGGAAAAACAAGTGGCTCTCTGTCTCCCGTGGAACGGACAGGAAACGAAAAAGTTGTGTTTCGCAATGGTAAGTGGCAATTGCATGTGCTCATGGACGAAGAGGAAGACGCCGGGCTAGCCAGCCGGCTGTTTGTCTAGCTGGCTGGCTGGCTGACTGGCTATCTGCGTCGTGATTGGCGCACCTTAGACGCCAAGAAAACGGAACTTTGCAAATATACAGTTCCCCGCGAGAATATAGCTCCCCGCTCGCAACGGAATGATTCGGTTTAATTAGGCGCTGGTAATTATTCATCGCGTCAACTGTGCACAATTCTATTGCAACCGTGAGAGAGAGAGAGAGAGAGAGAGAGGCAGGCAGGAAAAATACTTTCCGCATTTCCGCCAGCTCCCGCGGGAATCGTCATTTAATATTTAATATAAGATCAAGTGGGAGGATATAATTGAAAAGTGCCCTGAAAGGAATTACGGTAGAGAGCGATATTTTTCAACGCAATGAAATATTACTGCGCGTTATAATAAACGATTGAGAGCTCGTGAGCTTTCTTCTCAGCGGTGATGAGAACATTGCGAGGAAGGGCCGATCGTTAAGAAGAGAGTGTTGCATCTACATGTAAGATCCTCGATTATATCGCTTGGTTCACGAAAGATTTCGCGAGACGCGAACGGATTGTAGTCTCGGCGCCGCTAATGATGCTAATAATAGGTGTCGGGTTGAGACACCAAGAGAAAAATATTTGAACATTTATATGCGGCATAAAAAACAAGTAACACGTCCATGTACGCTTTCCAGTCTCATTCAACGTTAATTGAAAGCGTGCGGAGAGAAAAGCACTGGAAAATTAATTTGTGGAATAAAAGAAGTTTGTCTCACAGAAATGAACTTTGTGCGCCACAGATAAAGAGAACGGCCGAGCTCTCGTAAGCTCTTAGCCCCATTTTGCGGCATTCAAATCGTAAATTATTTTATTACAAAATTAGAATTATTCATAAGTAGATTAAAGATATATAAGCACCAAAGTGATGTGCGCCTCATCACTTATTAAAAATTAAAAATTAATCGACGTACTTTGTCAAAGTAAATTGTATTGTTAGGACCCTTGCAAGAAACATATAGGAAATATCGTAAGAAATGGAAGAGAGAGATTAAAGTCTTTACTAATAAAATAATATGGATCACAAGTGCTAATAATATTTATTGAATTAGGGTGACTTACCAAGCTGCAATTAACATAATCGTCGGTTGATTTCATCGTGATCAGCAATGGTCAATTCTGCTATTAGTTATTTTACTTTTGCTTTTATTTATTTCGACAGAATACATGTATTTTTTGGGCTATCTTCTACCAAATGGTGAGGCGCGCGATTCAAGTATCTTGAATCTACTCACGAATAGCCACATTTTCGTCAGGAAGTACTTTGAAATTTCGAATGCCGCATTATGCGCGGCTGAACTCGCGGCCGCACTCTCTTCGAGTCTTTTCTCCTTGTTGCGCGTCGAACGTCGTGTGTATCTCGCGACAATATATTTTATAATATCGTCGCGCCGCGTCCGTTCACCCATGGTATCGACGCGCGAGTCGCCTCAGGACCCCGTAAGACGCAATTCCGCGTCCAAGCATCGGGATAGTAACACGCTCGCGTTTCCCCTCCATAATGCCGACATTATCGCCGTAAGCCGGCGATGGTTTACGCGGGCTTTAACGCCACGCGCGAGATCCCGCCTAACCCTTATGCTCCCGGGGAACGCTCGCGTGTGATTTTGACAGCGGCACACGTTGATCCTCTATTGTCTGAGCTCATCAGCGGGCTCATTCGGCGAGAGTCTTATCGCCGGGAAAGGAATCTGCCGGCGACGCCGGCGCACACTCAAGACCGCCACCCCGTTAATTACCGTGGACTATATATTCGCGCAGCGTGTGTACATGTGTGTGTGTGTGTGCGCGCGCGCGTGTATATCGTATCAGCACGGAGTAGAGTTTGTCGAGCTCCGGGCGACGCATTTAGCGACATAACGAGCGCCTAATTTCTACTCAACGTGGTGCGTGCGCGCGAGTCGATAACGCTCTCTCGCTTTCTCTCTCTCTCTCTCTCTCTCTCTCTCTCGCGCGCGCACACGCGTGTCGCGGTTGCGCTTTGCACGCGCATTATCGTGTACGCCGCACGCTTCTGCACCCGCTGCGATGAAAAATTACCGCTAACAGCGATCAGAGGACCGGGAGGGAGCGGGGGGACGGCTCGGCGAACTCGTCGGGATCGGGGCGTTAATTAATTCGCTTCTGTCGGCCACATCCGTTGTGTCTGTAATTTAAAATTTCTCCCATGCCCTTCTCCTGCCTCTCCCCCCTTCCCTCCGGTGATAGATACATATATATATATATGGATGAGTTATAGGAATTCTGTGAATTCGTATAACCTTGTATTTTTCGCGGAGGAGCAAAAGAAGAGAAACGGACAGAAGCTTCATGCGAAAAAAAGAAGGAAATGGGGAAATGAAACGGACGAACCCGAAGCTATACGCAATCGATGCTTGAGACAGAGAGAAAAAGAGCGAGACAGAGAGAGGGAGGCAGAGAGGGAAAGAGAGAGGGAGGGAGAAGGAGAGAGAGGAAGATTCATCGATCTCTGTCTCCACCTTCGCCTACGTGTCAAAGTGACGTTACGTTAAACGTGAAATCGCTTACTCGTAAGTTTGCACGTTGCAATACTACCAAACTATCGTTTACTCTATCAAAAGTGGCAGTCAACGAAGTACTCTTATCTGAACGAGGCACGCTCTGTCGACTAGTTCTTACAGCTCGAAATGGACGCGCGCCTCGTCCCCGTTTCGGGGCTCTAACAGCCCTATCACGCGCGGTGTCGCGTGTTAGCCTATGCGACAGGGGGACGGAGAAGGAGACGAGAGAGGCGAGAGAGAGAGAAAGGGGTGCGGATATCCGTATTTTCTTTTAGCCGCGTGTAACCTGCCGGACAAAACGGAATCCATTACGGGCGTACGTAAGGAGAGCGGCGCGCGCCCGATCCCGCGGCATTTCCATTTATATTACCTTGTCGTTATTCTTCCACGCTGCTTCCTCCTACTTTCGCTCATCCTCTCTCCGTTCTCTCCTCTCACGCTCTCTTCATCTCTCCCTCTCTCTCGACGGTCGCTCGTCCTCCGCCCTGTCGCGTCGTGTGTCCCTGTCTTCTCTTCCTCTTTCACGTCTCTCTCTCTTTCTCATCTCTCTCTCTCTCTCTCTCTCTCTCTCTCTCTCTCCTGATCCTCTCCGCCACTTATTTCTGCCGGAGGACCACGGTGAAGACGCACTTGCTCGACCAGCCGGCCTCGTCGCCCGCTTCGTACTCGATCCGGTGACCGCCGACGTCGAAGCGACGACCTGGGCTCTAAAAAGGAGCAAGACGGAAAAATATCGACGACAGATCGGTGGCGCGACGACGATAACAACGAGGGGACGAAGGCGCTCACCCCCCTATCGCGATCGGGGCTGGTAAGCGCCTTCGCGGCGAATTTTTGGCACTAGGAACGTCGCCTTCTCCATCCCCCCTCCCCCACCCTCGCCTAGCACAGCCAGAATCTACCCGCAACATTCGCCGTGCGAATCCCCGCGCGTTCCTCGCGCGCCAGAGAGAAAATTATGCTTAACTAATCTCACGGCCGCAGGGGTGCCGCGGGGGTACCGCGGGCTCTCGCGAACGAATGCACCCCTTCGTCCTCCTCCCCAACCCGCTCCTCGGTCGCCCCTGGCCTAGCCGGAATCGCTTTTGCTCGCTCCACTTCCTTGTCTCTTCCTCTGTATATTTCGCCGCTCAACAAATTTACATAATTCATCAAAGCCGCGCGGGGCTTTGGATACGAATGACGGGAAACCGGAGTATAATTCGGATAATAATTGATGCGCTTCGGCACAAATAAGCTAATTGTGGAGCCTCTGATATAATATTACGTTATATTTTGATATAATGTTACGCGCGCGCATGCACCCACGCACGTTAATTAATTAATTATCGTCGCGCGTCGCGGTCTCGCTCGCGACGGCGGGGCGATCTGCAACGAAGCGCGTGCTCGCGTCGCGACGCGCCGCGTCGTTGAAAGCGTCGAGTGGAGCGAACATGCGGGGTAAACTCGGATACACGACGGCCATATGGATGGCCATAAGGATGGCTGTAATTCGTCCACACGGAGAAAACACTAGAGATATCGCTTGCCTAAATGTGCTTGCCATAACAAAATATTAATGCTAGTTTTCGCTCATGCATATAATGCATACGAGATGGTAGTAATAACCATAGTGCTCTGAAAATGGTAAACCAAGCTTCTTTACTGCCTACCCATATATGTTTAGGCATTGCTCTCAATGTTGTATGGTGCAACCAAACTCTACGGATCTCTCAACCATAGCATTCGTTCCGCAGACCACAACAGAGAGACAGCAATATTCCTCCGGTTGAGACAACTACGTACACGAGAATGTACTTAACTGAACATTATCATAAGAACTATGGCTGTGAGAACTGTATAGATAGACATGTAATAACGACAACTTTTAATGCCGTGTCTATTTCACTTGAAATCACTTGAATTTTCTCTCTAATCATAGAACATGGATTTAGCAACCACAGTAGTTTTCTCCGCGCAATAATTGCTGAAATAGTGCGCCCTTATAGTCATTCTCAAAGATAATCGACATTTACAACAGTTTATACTTACGGCGAACTCACATCTTGGCAGAGAAGCAGAAAGGCAGAAGCCAATCGTGCTAGTAGAAAAGCAGAATCTGTCGATTATCTGATCGCCAGCGCGAATTCTGATTGGCTTCTGCCATTCTGCTTTTCCGCCAAGATGCGAATTCGCTGAAACGTATTTAGCAATTATTGGAGAAATTACAGCCTATGGTCGTCTCTCTCGTATGGCCATCATAGTCGAGTTTATTCCCCACAATCTAAACAGTTTTTCGAGCAATTGCGAAACGACCAGACATCTGTCGATGTTGCGCGGGATAATATCGTCCTCGTTAATGAGTGTTTCCACGCTTGTGAAATATTAATGATCGCGTTCCAGCCAATCGCAGCTCGTGCGTTCGTTACGTGCGCGCGCGTAATTCGATGCGCATCGCCGGAATGCGTGTGTCGACGCCTTTCCATTATGTATCATCCGAAAATATCGCGCGCGGACTTAATTATCGAGATATCAGCTAACTTTTATTCACAGCGCCGCGCCCAGCAGATTAAAGTCATGCAAATCGAGCAGTGCTGCTCATCAAATAATCGTACGACCGACCGGACATACACGCGCCGAAGCGTGCATCGGCTGATACTCGTCATAATCTGCATGCACAGTACCGGCATTATAATTATTGCGTCAGCCAATAAATTTGAGCGCTCACACGAGCGGACGAGCTGCCACGCGCTACTCCAGACGATTCTTCCCCGCTCTTCGATCCATTGGACGTTAGTCGGCGATTTTTCAAACTGATTTCTACTGAGAACTCGGTCGTCTACCGCAGTTTTACGACGTTCCCTCACTTCACCCTTCATCCACCCCAAATAGCTCGTTTCTCCGTATTCTTTCAGGAATCTTGCCATAGAATTTAATTCTGACTGCAACTTCGCGCGTAGAAAAGTTTTCCTCAGACAAAGCAAGAATAACACTCTTGCTTTCCGGGCTCAATGCAACACTTTGGGCCATTTTGGGATCAGACGGGAGGATTCGCCGCGGAGTAACTCGCTCGCATTACGTGAAAGCAGGTTATGCGCGACCATCACCAGCTTTCAGTTTCTGCGTGACTATTAATTGAAAGGAGTGCCGGGGCGCCACAACAAAATATTCCACCTACATTGAGCTAAAGAGTATCTCCACGTATAAGGAATAATTTGCGAGATAACACAATAATTAATGCCAGTACTGTACGACTGAGTTTCACTTGCCTCGAAACGAAAATAATACACGGAGAGAAATTTGTGTTAAACATTACTGTGGAATATCTATTATAACCGAGGAACAGGTCGACATTCGCGGAAATAAATCATAGAAATCGACTATCCTTTCGTTTCATAAATGCCATTTATATTTGAGGGGCTTAATATTTGAGGATGTGCTATTAAAAAGAATAAAAAGATTAGTTTAATTTAAGAACAGTCCCGCATTTCAACTGAGTTGATTAGACAATTAAGGTCAGCCATCATAATCAAACATTCCGGCTGCTTCAGCTGAAATACGGTTGACTTGTCCGTGAATCGACTAATCTGTTGTTTTCCGTGATGTACTACACACGAGAAAGTATAACCTCATGTTTAGCGGAAAATCCTTTTATGTAACTACTTCAAAGAGGATTCCTCTACTAAGAGAACTCTTTAAAGGAAAATATTCTAGCATCAAACAAAAAAAAACTCTAGTTGCACAAGAGAGGTGCTATTTTCCTTTTAAAAAACTCTTATCCAAAGAGCATCTCACTTCTAATGAAAAGGAATAATATTGATTAGAATATTTTCCTCTTAGTTTCAGAAGAATTCTCTTGAGATCACACGAGAGTTCCGCTAAGGGAGAGATTATATTTTCTTCGGCGTATATTTCTAGCGAAATTCTCGCTATGTTTCTAGCGAGATTTACCATGTTCTCTCTCCTCAGCGAGGTAAGACATTACTGACAATCTCTATTCCTGCACTATCAGAAATGGAACAATAAAACTGAGAAGAATTTATATGAAAAGGAAAGAAGCTATGGTATTCTCTCCGTGTAGACGATATGATACGATTACACCAAAAAAGTTGTATTCTCCATACAAAAAGACTATATACTTCTCCGTCACTCTTAACTCTTAAATATTCTTGTAGAATAAGAATATTTCCTTCTTTTCCTAAGTTTCATACAATATCTTCTGAAATGAAGAAAATATTCTTTTCCTTGATATCTAACCTTTACGACAACTGTCGTTTCCTGCGACGAAATGTCGCTTGTTACGACAAGCGACATTTCGTTGTTCTTACGACTTTTGATGCAAGCCAGACGATTTTCATGTGCTCGCGCAGAATTGATTTTATATAACTTTTGAAGAGTGTATGAATCCAAAAGTGGCAAGAAGAAGGAGATTTTATCGAGATAGCGGAAGTACTTATGAGAGAATTTTTAAAAGACAGATATTAAATAGGATGTTAGCCTTCTTCAAGTAAATGTAATTATGACTTTCAATATTACTGATTAAAACTGATTACTTTTTAATGTGCATCAGAATTTTATTCGCAATGCAGTATGTTAATTATCTCTAGTACGTAACCTGAATTTATCAGAATTAGAATATCTAGTACTAATATTTATAATATTTGGAATATATATAGTACTAATCCTTTACAATCTAATATTTAGAATATGTAGTCTTTTTTCTGATCTTTTATAAGATTCTACTTTTAACGTAAGAGAATCCTTTTGGCGCATATTTCAGAGGAGGATACTCTTTATGTAAATGGAATTTTTTAAAAGGAGAATGCAATTTTTTCAGTGTAGCGAAAAAGTAACATGAGTAACCTGATCTTACCTCGTTGTTAATGATTCTCGTCACTTTGACGTTATCCGTGAAGGTCGGCTCCGTCCATGTGATCGCCGTGCCGTTCCTCCCGACGACTTCGATGTCGTTCGGACAGTCTTTGACTTTCGGTGCCTCACCACCTAAAGTTCAAGGGATTAGCAAATTGTGTAAGTAATAGCGGATCCTGCCCGTTTTATCGCGCGCGCATACCGTCGCTCGGTCGCTAAGAAATTGCAGGTCGCAAGAAAATTCGTCGGGTCGAGTCGATTCGCGTGTCAGGGAGTTCGATTTCCGCATTCGTCGCCGGATGACGGAGTTGGCGACTTGGTGGTGGGGCGGGGCGAGCACCGAAACCCGGGAGGAAATTTATGCACGATTTCGCGAGACACGGCTTTTCGCGAATTAAGGCGTTCCCCGAGGAAACAATTCGAGACTTTGGCTTTTCGTCTGTGTGCATTTTTCTCCACAAACATATCTTCCAAACGCGGGAGAACGAAGTTTTGGTCGGATTGACCAAATCTCTGGTGAAACTTGAACGAACCAGAAATTCTAGTTGAACCAGATCTCCAGTTAACTCCGGCAGGATTCTGGCAACTTCAACCGGAATTCTCTGGCTCGTTCGTATTTCGCCAGAAAATTCATTAATCCAGCCATGGTTTTCCAGCCCGTGTAGACATTGCGTTTGATTGTGCGTCTGAGATAACCGTCCTGATAACTAATTAAATGTGTCTTCTGCCCGGGAATATATATTCTGTAATTAGAAATTTATATTTTATACATAATGGAAGAATGTGTTTTTATCGGAGCGCAAGAACAACGCGTGACACATGAGAGAGGTGATGTGTTTTCACGTCGCCACGGAGAAATACGATTTTGCAAAGGGAGAGATATTTCTCCTCCCATTGTACATTCGTTTCCCCTGGAGAAGTTCATTCGCACGCCAAGTCTTTCCGCGAGTTATACGGAGCGAAAAAAGAGGCAACGATTCAAGTTGCGCGCGGACTGTCCGCAAAATCAGGCTGACGTTTTCAGAGAAAACTCGTTGGCTCAAGTGCCAGTGATGAAGACTCGGGTTATACGCTCGCGCCAAATTAGTTTCGTCAACTTACTTTTAGACACAAATGAGAGCCGCACTCTTTACAAGATACGCGGTCTCGTAGCGCCAAATGCAATCCTCAAGTGCCACTCGTTTAAAACAAAACGACCTTACGCTGGCGTATACATGGCGCGTCGAATCGTTTATGAGAAGTTATCTCGACCTCCGCGTGTGTGACGCGCAGAAATATGAATAACCCAAGATCACGGTAAAGAGACTTCCTTCCTTCTCTCTCTCTCTCTCTCTCTCTCTCTCTCTCTTTGTCTTTTTGTCTCTCTGTTTTTTTACTACTTTTTTCCCTCTCTTTCTTGAAGTTAAATAAGGTTGGAGTCCATCCAACTTGCGTTGCAGACTGATATTGTTGAGCCATTTACTATTTCTTCTCATTTCATCAGTTTATATTAATGATTCGTACTGTATCATTGGTTCCATCGTAGTTTTGAAAAACATGTTAACAAACAACAGTTAACGACAGCTAACATCTATTATCCGTTAGATAGCGCTTGAGGGAATTTACATCCCAGAACGCTTAATAAATATTTCTCTCTCTCTCTCTCTCTCTCTCTTTCTCTCTTTCTCTCTCTCTGTCTCTGTTCCCGTTCCCGTCCTTGTCCCTATCCTTGTCCCCTATCTCCTCCTCTCTCTCTTTTACAACTTCATCACCAATCCTGCATCTTTGAACTGCCACATTTAACATTATCGTTGCAGCTTTAGATAGCGCGGAATGACAGGAAAGAAGAAACCGCGACATTCTGCGATGCAGCGCGCGGAGTTAAATCTGAATGACAAACAAGGACGATGCGAGGCGCTTTGGTTTCTCGCGCTGGGTTTTCGCGAATGTTAAAGTAATAATTTACTAGCTGCCAGCCAGCGGGAGTAAGTCGCGAGTTTACTCGGAATCATATAAGGATTTAACTTGCGACGCGACGAACTGCCGCCGCCGCCGCCGCCCCGCCGCTCGCGTGCGCGCGTATTTCGCTCACGTCCCGGAAAGATGCATCAGCGTAGACGGGGGCGGCACGGAAACGTAATATTCTTAAGACGTATTTTAAAGGATCCCGACAGCGGCGTTAACAGGCGACGCGGAAAACTTTTGATACGACGTCGGTTTATGGGACGACCTAGCAATTTGCTAACTCGGCCGGCGGCGGCGGCGACAACGGCGACTTCCTCTTTTTCGTAAGAACGTACATTACGTCTGTAAGAAGTATTTCTCGGCACGAGATTCCGAATGCTCGCGGCCGCGAAGAATGCGAGACGAACGAGCGGGCGTGCAGAGGAGGCCGGGGCTAGATGTCCCACATATCTCAGAATTCCGACGTTACGACTTCTCTATCCCGATTTTGATGAAACTCCGGGAAAAAGGATATCCGCGTTTTAAAAGTAGCGCTTTTACATATCCACTCCGTTCCTCTCAAGATAAATAAATAGTAAGAGAACCGCATGAGCAACATACCCTTGGGGCCACTTGAAGTCTTCCCTATTCTTGAATCTCACACTTTAATCATCGAGTGGTTTACGCCAGCTAAATGATGCAGCGATTTCTCTCTGAGCGCACACACTTCCCGGTTTATTTAACATGTGTTCTTCCGATGGTATTAACCGACCCATGCGTTATCCTCCGTCCCTATCCGTTATTAATCAAGATTTTCAGGGTTCAAGAGACGTTTATCTCCTGCCTTCCGCGCGGAGTGCAATCTCCGTAATCCGGATTAATTGATGCGCCGGCGTATTTGCATCGTCGCGATGTAATCGACGCCAAGACTACGTCTTTCCCCTTTCTTTTTTCCTTGTCGGGAAGTACGTGTGTTTAGTGAGTAGCCACGCGTGTCTCGACATACATATAATCCAGTGGCCAACATTTTCGCAACGGCGGAGGCTGAGATCAATTAACGACCTCGTGTTCCGGGAAATGAGTTGAAACAGACGCCGCGAAATATTCCCATATTCTTGAAATTTTTGCGTATACGTAATTTTCATTGCGCGGCTATTTTATGGTACAATTAAACCTGCACAGTAAAACTTACGTATACGCAACTATTTTAAGAATAAGGATCCTGGGTGAAATCTATCGCACTTCACTATCTCTATTTATCCAATATTTCATTTTCACGTTGACTCAATACGAGGCAGATTGTCTTTCTTCGATTTTTTCTAATTTCTTCCAATTTCCTCGATTTGTTCGATTTCTTAGTTGATTTTGTTATAAAACCAAAAATAATCACGAGTAGATCGCAAATATATAAGTTTCAAATCTTTTTACATTTTGTCATCTTATGTCGTGTGCCATGATTTTGTTATTCCCGACAAGAACTTGAGTATTATGATTCTTATTGCAAATAATACTTTGAATGAAGATATTTTATTCACATAACAAATTGTATTCTTTAATTTTTTCAATGGTGGCGTCATTTGCCGGACTTGAAACTTTTAGAGCTAATTTTTCTGAGAACGATAAAAAGCTACTCTTTGAAACTTGTATATTCATAATTTATTTTGTGATTATCTTTTGTTTCGTAAGAAGATTAATTTAAAAATCAAATACAAAAAAATTGGGGAGCATCATGTCCGCGCTCTTTACAGTCAGAAATTTTGACATTCAGAGATAGCGAACACGAGCTCGACACGAGATTGTCAAAATAACACGATGAATAAAAGTCACAAATATAATACAGATATTTCCGTGCGGATCGATTTCGACACGAGCGCGAGATGTTTTCCACCGCGACGAAATTATTTGTACGTATGAAAGCCGAATCGATGGATCAATTTCGGGGATTGATACTGTCGGCGCAAATTGGGTAATTGCGACTTAATATTGAGCGATTGTTAATTAATAACCCGCTTGTTAGCGGGGAACTGTCATTAACGGGAGAGGCCGATATGCGCGCGAGCGAGCGTACGGGGCGGGCTTGTACGCAATACGTCGTTAACACGCACCCGCGCTGCTAATTAATTACCTTTGACGATGATGCGCAGCACACAGCTGGCTTGCTTCTTCGATACCGGGTGTCGCGCGAAGAAGGTGATCTCGTGCACGCCGGGCTTCAGGTTGGCCTCGAGCCGCGTGCCCCACGTGGGCTTCGAGCGCACGTATCGGAACCAATCCAGGTCCGTGGCCGGCTGGTCAAAAGTCACGAACGCCTCGTCCCCGCCTGGCGGCAGCTCGGCCACCACGTCCTTGGGACACTCCAATCGGGGCTTGCTGTATCCTGTAATCGCAAAAGGACGCGCGACATTCGACGCTCGTCGATCTCTCTCACGGCATCGCGAGAGAAAACGCGGACGGATATCCTCGTGTTCCTCCATTTTTCATCGAGGCGAAGAAGAATAGTTTCGCGCGAGCCGCATCTCTTCGAGGGTGTCCGTAAAAATATTCGCGGGGAAATCTGCAGCTGCTTCTCGCTTACTTCATCGGAAATCCGTTCAGCCGCGCAGGTATCATGCGTTGAATTATACGAGAGAGAGAGAGAGAGAGAGAGAGAGAGAGAGAGAGAGAAGAAAAAGAAGAAGCAGCAGCAGCAACCCGATTCGGACGGCTGCGCGTTAAAAGAGATTGCGAAATAACGAGGATCGGTGGAGGAGAAGCGTTATTTTCCGCCGATTTTCCCGCTTCTGAGAAACTGATACGAGGCTCTTTATAAAGGAGGTTCCTTATACTCACTCATGCATTTCCCGTACTTCGGTCCGTCCCAGGTGCCGTCGGATCGACAGGTCAACTCGTACTCACCGCGAAGCTGATAACCATGGGGGCATTTTAGGAAGCACCTCGTGCTAGGCCGATTCGGCACTTTTCGCCTGTCGCGCCACAACTTGGACGTGGCTGATCGGGAACATATTAAGTAACCGCGACTGACTGAGCTCAGCGGCAGGCACGAGATGGTATTTAGGTCTGGAACCAACGAATCAAACTCCATGATTGTAGCAATAATAACCCTATCTTACAAGACCCTGCTGTGAAAGTTTGCTCTTTAGTAAATCAGGTGCGTTTAATACGAATGTGACCACAAAAATTAGAGTGTATGAAGTTGGCACCCCACTTTTTGAAATTTATAATTTTGAAAGTTGTTCCAGATTGTTTCAGAACAAAAAGATCACGGTTGGAACAAGAAAGGAAGCATGTGTTTACTTTTGACGTCGAGTACTGTCAAATCGATTTTTTTACGAATTTTCGGAGAACGAATGACGCTACGAGTCTCATACTCTAGAACTATAATTCTTAAGCCTAGAACAACTCAGAACAAAAAGATCTCGGTTGGAACAAGAAAGATAGTATAAGTTTACTCTTGGTCCGATAGACTGTCAAAAAACTTTTTTTTAATTTTTCGGGCTTATAATTAAACTTATTGATTTGTGCTTTTGGAACAATGTTTGGAACAACTAGAACAATCTATATCGGTATCGGAATGCTTTATTTTCAAAAAATGGGGTGCCAAGTCAAAAACATTTTTTTCATTTTTTGGACTTATAATTCAACTTACGGATTTGTCCTTTTGGAACAATGTTTGAAACAACTAGAACAATCTATTGCGGTATCAGAATGTTTGATTCGAAAAGTGGGGTGCCAGCTCAAAAAATCATTTTTTTTGTTTTATTCGAAAACCGTTTCGAATGAAGCAATATCACTTTGGAACAATGTGGTGCAAAGTCTAAACAATCTGGAACAACTTTCAAAATTATAAATTTCAAAAAGTGGGGTGCTAACTTCATACACTCCGAGAATTATCTATCACGTCAGGTTTCCGCGAGGATAGCGGTTTAAAAACAGTTTGGTCAGTGGCTATGTCAACGCGAGCGTAACTTATTGTTACACTAACGTGTGATTTGTTCAATGGACACAGTGTTCTTTCTTTCAAGCATCGGGTCAGTATCGATTTTGTCGATGCATCTCTTTCTTCTCGAAAACTTTCTTCTCTTTCGTAGAAAAATCAAGGTTATTTCCACCTTTTCAAATGGAATCGTATCTCTGCTTATCCGTAATGTTGTAAAAAGGATCAGAACAGATTTAGCAGCGACTCATGATGTTATCTTAATGACGTTTAACGCTGAAAATGCAGAGAGAAGATAAGACGACATTCGGAATACAACGTAATGAATAATGTTAGGTACTCAGAACAAGCTGGAAACGTAATTCATTTTCCGCAACGCACAAAGCTCCGCCCTCTGCAATAGAGTTTTGTATGTCGCATTAATTAGGATATTTCGATTTATGTTTTCGCACGCTCATGCTGTACGTCGTGCTGTAATTCTTCATTAGTATTTTACTGTGCTGTGAAATAGCAATGAAGATAACATGGTGAGTTACTGCTGAATCTGTTTTGATCCTCTTTACAATATTACGGGTGAAAAGAGATACATAGTTTCACTTGAAAAAAAGTAAAGGCGATCTTGACAACGAGAAAACGTTTTCCGCGTTTTTTAGTGTTGCATTTTATTGCCGTTCAAAAATTGATTAATTGCGCCTGAAACTTCTTCCTCTCCGATCGTTCTAACCGGTGAAAATGTAGTGGATTCGCTGTTACGGCGAACACCCTGTACATACGTCTTTTTGCAAAGTTTTCGCATATTTTTAAAGTTCTAAATTCAGTTGTAAATGCGCGGCAACGTTCTTCGAAATTTTCCCCCGAGCAAAGCAAACACACGTTCGGTGTTTTGCAAGCTGCAAAACTTTTGTATCATGCATACGTTCACGCTAAGTGACATCTCGAAATGTCGATTCTGAAATTTTTTTATCGTTTACGTCACATATTGAGCGAGATGCTCAAATTCGTTCTTGCACGTGCTTCCGTGTGCAGTATTTGCGATTCTGTGCAGCCAATACAATCTCGCGAGGAGATACAAGTACTTGGTCAGTAAAGTGTGTCCAAGTACGGCATTCCCTTAACACTAGAAAGACCAAGATAGCCAATTTGGCTCCTGGAAAAATTCAAACAGCTATCATTTTTTTCAATTTCTCTTTTATGTGATAACTCCCTGTGACTTTTCATCATACTCTTAATTTTGGTAAATAAAAAATTTAATTACAAGATGGTGTGTTGAATTTTTATTTGTCTACCTAGAAGGACCGTTGGAGCCAATTTGGCTCCCTTATTTCTAATATTGCATTCACATATGTTTTACGATTTTATTAACAAATTTCAAGACTTTAAACAGATACGTATGTATAAAAATATTTATTTATCTGTTTAAAGTCATAAAATTTGTTAATAAAATCGTAAAACATATGTGAATGCAATATCAGAAATAAGGGAGCCAAACATTGGCTCCAACGGTCCTTCTAGGTAGACAATTAAATAAAAATTCAACACACCATCTTGTGTGATTAAATTTTTTACTTACCAAAATTAAGATTATGATGAAAAGTCACAAGGGGTTATGGAAGAGAAATTGAAAAAAGTTATAGCCGTTTGAATTTTGCGAGGAGCCAAATTGGCTACCTTGGTCCTTCTAGTGTTAATTCGTGTAGGAAAGTATAAGATCCCAGTTTTTCCCGAAATATGTTCACGTTACATCTCGAGGAAGGCGTCGTCTGCGCGAAACGATTCGCAACACGCGTTATCCCGATGAGACCATTTCTCAACAACGGAGCACGGTTTATTTAATGGAGTGAGAAAGAAGAGACCGCTCTCCCCCCGCCGCTCGAGATTATCTCATATGACCGCGGAGGTAAAGTACGGATTTAGCGGTTATTCACTGCTATATCCTGTCGCAGTTATTCATTGTGCTTATGCACGGGGTGTACCTGTCCTAAGCTAACAGCCTGCAACGCGAGTGCAGCATTCGCGTACGGCCTCATAAACCTTGCAGGCTCCTAATCTATGTACGCAAGCTCAAAAGCGGAATTCTCCACATCGACGGCGGCATTATGTCAGCCGCGTCAGCCGCGCGACGCCGCTACGCATCAAATACGATATGTACATAAGGCAGGAATTACAAATGCCAATGGCAGCGGCTGGGAGAGGAGAGGAGTTAGGCAGGGAGGACTACCTAGGCTGCATCCGTGGAAGTCGCTCCTGCGTGACAGCTTTGCATAATGCCATGATCACGGATGCGTCGCGACGCGTCGCGTCATCCGACCCGTGAGGGTCACCCGTAGATGAATAGTATCTAGACCACGTGGTCCCTACGGCTTCCGGTGGAGTCAAAACGCGTCGGAAAACTGAGAGGACTGCTGCTGCAGGTGAGATCGCCAACCTGTCTGTCTTGAAACGATGCGTGGTGCGATGAAGAAGTTTTCGTTGACTGAGGAAACAGAACGGTAGAGGGAGTGAAAAGGAATGAGGAGGAATTGCGAGAGGAAAATACGTATGGCGCACCTGGTGAGTATAAGGACGCTTCTTTTCGCGGCAAACATGCAGTTAATAGAGAGGAACTGAAAACCTCACTCCACAATGTCAGACGAATGCAAAGCATGCTGGCTCTGTTCAATTTTTGACGTCTTCTCAATCAAATGCGTAGTCTAGGTGTTATACGTCTATGGAGTAATGACGCAGCCGCCATTAATGTGCAGTTTCCACATTTAGAAGATCAGGGCTATATGGCCTCTATATGGTATGTCGCTCATGTGCTTTCTTTTTTAGTATTTATCTTGAGAGGAACAGTGGGTATGCAAAATCGCGAAATGGTCCTTTTACAACATTAACACTTTTCCTTGAATTTGATTAAAATCGGAATAATATTACATTTAAGAAATAAAAAATTGATTTGGCAATAGCAAAGTAAATTTTCGAGCAAAATTTTGTATCAGTACTCTCCATCGTGACTGAATAAAATTAAGCGATATGTTACTACCCATACAGCACAGATCTTGCAGCAATATTGCTGCAACATTGCAGCAATGTTAAAAGCTGCAGCAGTGTTGACGCAATGTTACTGCAATATTGCTGCAAGATCTGTGCTTTATGGGTAGCCAGAATTAAATTTCTTGCAAGTGTATGATATATTGTTTTCGATAATAAATGCAATTTTCATTCATAAAGTGACTGAAATAGAGCATATGGACGGACAAGGTAAAGTTGGCCCATATTTAAGGACCGGCAGGAGAGTTGTGGAAACTTCTCACAGAGACTCTAGAACTACTAATCAGGATACATATTTTATGGCTACTACACGGAAAAAAGATTTGCTAATATATGGACAACTAAAAATATTAGCTGCAGAAGCAAATTTTCTTGCTTTTATAGCAAAGTTATTTAGTTGTTATAGCTAAAAGATTTGCTAATATATGGACAACTAAAAATATTAGCTGCAGAAGCAAATTTTCTTGCTTTTATAGCAAAGTTATTTAGTTGTTATAGCTAAAAGATTTGCTAATATATATATTAGCAAATAAATAACTTTGCTATGAAAGCAAGAAAATTTACTCCTGCAGCTAATATTTTTAGTTGTCCATATATTAGCTAATCTTTTTTCTGCGTAGGCGCAGAGTAAAAACCTAGAACTCAGGTAAGATGGCTATGTTGCTGCATATTCGTATTTTGATTATTATGAAACAAAATATACGGTTCATGGCGGAAATATAGGATCGTGGCGGGCATTAGTATATACAAGAAGGTTACCACTGTCGTGTTTATACAGTCGGTCGCAACAATTAGTTGTCTGCGAAGTTGCAACATCGAAATTCTAAAATATAGGCCGTCTAGCCCCGATCTTCCCTACGCGGCTGGCCTCTCGCAGGGCTGGGTGGGAAGCCGATTAAAAAGTCGCGACACAAAGGGCGACGTTGCGTAAAGATTTCCCCGGGGGCTCGCGGGCGAGTCGACTTCCGACTTGATCGAGGAATTTGCTTGGACGAGAGGAAATCGTAGTTCGTGACACACCCCGTGCACGCCGCGTTCGCACTCGTTCGATCATCGCGTTGCCGCGTTGACGCGTCGTCGTCGTCGTCGTCGCGCGCGCGCGCGGAACGAAGGACGAAGTGTGGAAAGTGATTTGTCAAGGAACACGTACCTACGCAGGATTTCCCATCGGATGACAGTGCTTTCTCGTCGCCGTCGCACGCGCAGAAAAAGCTCCCATCTGTATTTTCGCACACCTCCGTGCAGCCGCCGTTATCAACCGTGCACTCGTTGATATCTGGATAGAACGGGAGTCTAAGTGAGTCTCGGCAGGACTTTCCTTTAAGGTCTTTGCACGTCAAAAAATCTTAACTGTAACCGCAATTAACACATACCATCAGATAGAGCAACGCAAGTGAAAATTCATATACAGCTTTACGGTTACGAATTTTCACTTGCGTTGCTCTATCCGATTGCATGTGTTAATTACGGTTAAGACTTTTTGACTTAAAGGCCTTTAGGGTGGCTCTCGCCAAATTCCGGTTCAACTGGTCGATAATCGACCGGCAGATAATCGCCGATTGCAATTTTCGGCAAGCGAATATTCTTACCGCTTTTCAACAAGTCTTTCCTCTGGCGCGTTGCCAATCTCGCCATCTCTGATTGTCAGTTGACTTAATCGGAATTTGACAGAAGTCACCTTACGTTATTCACAGTGCGAAGATTACGCTGAAGAAAATATATATCGTCTCGCGGTCTTTGCGACTAATTTTCCTCTACCCTCTTGCTTTATTCTGCCCTCAAAGTTGCCACGAGTACAAAGCGACTGCGCCAGCAGCAGTAGCAGCAGTTAATTCGCCACAGCTATGAATAATTTCGCAGACGCGAGTTATCTTTGATCTGAGATTGGCTTGCAGCGTGTCCCTCTCTCTCTCTCTCTCTCTCTCTCTCTCTCTCTCTCTCTCTCTCTCTCTCTCTC